TAGAGTAGGCAGGCGAGGAGAGGTGGAGTAGCTTAGGGGTGTAGAGTAGGCAGGCGAGGAGAGGTGAAGTAACTCGGGAGTGAGGCAAAGCCAGCTTTAGACCAGCTCAGCTGTTCACTGCCTGGGTGAACTGGGGGAACCCTTAACTTTGCTGAGTTGTTTCTTACTTGCAAAGTGCTGATAATAAAACTTTAAAAATTGCTATGGAGCCTGAGTGTACCGTCTTTTACCGTGCACACGTGTTCAGCCAAGGGGCAGCTGAAGTTCATGGGATCTAAGAGTGTTTGGATCTCTGCTAACATCTCTGAGCCTCCATTGACTAATGTGTAAAGCTATCAGGGTTGGACCAGAGGATCTAGAAGCCTGTGTAATAAGAATCCCTGAAGGTAGTTCAGGAAACCCAAGCTCTGCTTTCTCTAACCTATTTTGAGGGGGAGGAAACCAGAAGGTTAAGGGCACACGTACCCTGCAGGCTGCCTGCCCTTGCACTGAGGTCTCTGTTCACTGGCTTTGTTTCTTATCTCACCCCACCTGTGGCAGCATCCTGGTCAACATGGATGACAACATCATTGAGCACTATTCAAATGAGGACACCTTCATTCTCAACATGGAGAGCATGGTGGAAGGCTTCAAGATCACACTGATGGAGATCTGAGCCTGGGAGTTCCCGCGACAGGAGCTTTAGGTGTACTCCTTCCTGGGAGAGATGGCATCTCTGCTGCCCCAGAACCTGGAGACCCATCTCACCCACCTCACAAGACTGTTACAAGACTGCTGGGAAGGGGGCTGGGCCCAAGGCCCGGTAACAGACTTCCTTCGACTCTTCCACTTCTTCCCTATGGAGCGGAAGCCTGAGCCCCCCAGCAAATTTCTTTGAGCCTGGTAGGCCCTTATTTATTGCCCATTTTCCCCCCAAGAGCCCTCCAGGACTCTGAAAGTTACTGACAGCCCTATGTGAGACCTCCAGAGTTCCCCTTCAAGGGAAACAGCAAGTCCACTCATCTCGAGCCTGAGGAACCGATGTGTCCTTTTTCTTACCTCTCCACATTTCTTGAGTGGATGGACCAGACGTGCTGCTTCTTGGTGCAGTCTTCATGGATAGGGTAAGAAGGACGCGTTTACCGGCCCCAAACCTTCAGATTGCTCTGAGGAAGGTCATTTTGCTAAATACCTCCAGGGGACTCTCAGCAAATAGCCACTGGGCCTTGTACAGAAGACGTGCTACCATGTCAGTAATAAGGAACACAAGAGTATGCCTGATGACCATGTACATACTTTGTACATAATATTGCAATAATATATTTTACCTATGGTTTGTGGGCATGTTTACTGCCATTGGCCTGGAGGAGACATACCTGGAGATTCAGAGCATTCTGTTCTATCCAAGAGGAGGTTAGGAAAGTGGCCTTTGGGATGTCATGTGATGGTGATGGGGATGAATGCCAGGATGGACTCTGCATTGGGAGGACGTGTCTCCTCAGAGCCCTCTCTCCTCAAACACCACTCTCCCTTGAGGCCATCACGTGTTACCTCACAGTGATGAGTTGTCTCGGCCCGTCCTTTGAGCTGGCTGGGAAAGGCTATACTGTCGGTGCCCTCTCTAGCTTTGGTATGGGGCATCTCTTGAGCCTCATGCAAAGTCTCTGCACAAGGATTCACACTGGGGCCCTGTCACTGGGACCAGCTGCAGAACTGCTTGACTGACGTGGGGATCCTGGACACTGTAGGGCCTCATAGTTTACAAGCAAGTCCTTCATCTCAAGTGGCCCCTTTAAAAACCTAACTGCAGCTTTGTGAGTTGAGCCAGGGGCTCTGCTAGGCCGTGAGCAGCAGACAATGCTTCACCCTGCTTCTGACGGGAAGAAGTGAGGCTATCCACCCTGGCTGTGGAGAACAAGGGAGCCCTTGCACTTCTGAAACCAACTCTGGGAGGTGCGTTGGAGAGCCAAGGCCGTTTCGTCTTTTCCTTGCCCTTGGAAGATCAAAAGAAAATGACTTATCTGAACAGTCACAAAAGCATGCCCCATTGTGGGCCTCTGTTCTCTTTGAGAGAACAGGTCAGTAGTTCTGTTAGGGTTAAGGACTGGTATGTGCCCCTGTCGCTGAGCACTAGTTTGGATAGCTAGGCACATCCCACCCCAAGGCCTGGATAATGGAACAGCTTCTATGGAAAAGTCTAAAATTTGTCTGTGAAGCACTTTGATGTCTTACCCGGAGGCTCTGCTCGCTGGCCCCTGCCTTCTTGCTCTACCTGCCCTCAAGGCCCAGAGCAGCTGGGGCTGACTCCAGCCCAGCTATTGCTCTTCAGAGCTGCAGAGAAACTGAATGGGATGGAAAGTAGGTGCCTGGAACCAAGAGGATCCCAAAGGATAGTAGGGGCACCTGAGAGCCTACTGGACTCCTTATTCTTCTTTGTGTTGCCAAAGGTTTGCATCCTGGGCTCTGCTCTGTTCCAGCCCTGCACTCCAAATGCCACACCTTGAAATTAGCAACCTGGGGATCCTCCAGGGTACTAGCAGGTCTCTGATCTAAGACAGACAAACTCAATGTTAGAGATACATGCTCTACGCGCTTCCTGTGCTATAGCACTTGGGGCTAGCTGCAAACATGATTGGCAAACCTTAGAGGTGGGCTCAGGATTCCAGATCAGGGAGACAAAGCTGTAGCAACCAAACAGGCTACCAGCTCGTCTCTCTAGTCTTTCTGGAAAATTGCTGGTCTGCTCTGGGAAGACAAGCCAGAGCCAGCTTTCCCTTTGTCCTGAGTCCCTACAATCCATGAGATAGCCATTGCCAGAACAAGGGATAGGAAGTCACAAAGGAGCAGTATAGTGTCAGGTCCAGGAGTGTCCATTGGTGGATTTCCATGCATCTCATTGCTGGCTGTGTTGGCTGTGTGTGTTCTGTGAGCATCACACCCTGAACAAAGACACTCCAGGACGATAGGAAAGTTTGCCTTGTCGTGAATTAATCTCATCCAAACAAAGAACTTTTTTTTATGTTTTAGTAATCCATAAAAGATGGGGGACACATGAAGCAGGTATTTTGTCCTGTGTCCCCACATCATTGAAACTTCCTCAGTGTTTAGAAGTTGGAACCAATAGAAAAAGACACAGTGGGCTGTCGTCTTGAAGTTGGTTCCTAAAAGACTAAGGCACGTCCCAATGCAGAAACCTGGGAAGTTTGAAATGAGTTAAACATTTATTTTCCCTCATATTTTAACAGTCATGAAAATGCAACAGGAAAAGAGGGTTTGTGCCAAATTCTAAGAATGGCCCTTTCTGAAAGACAAGCAGGGGAGACTCATGTGTACAATCTGCTCCCACATGAAAAAAAGAGTAAATGTAACTTAATAGTTTTGTAAATGGGAGAGGGGAATCTATAAACTATAAATATGTTATTTTATTTTTTGTACATTTTTAAGAAGAAAAAATAAATATTCACAACATGAGTCAAACAGCTATGTCTGGTGCTCTCTGTGTGGTGATGGCTGGTGTTCTTTGCCTGCGAGGACGAGTCTCTGTAGGTGGGGTCTGGACTGCTCCTGACCCTTCAGGCCCTGCTTTCAATAGAACACACACTTGCTCTTCCAACACCCCAGCCCCCAATCTTATACCAGGCCTATATGGGAAGAGGGCCAAAGCCCAGCAAGAAACCTCCAGTGTGGCTCTGGAAGGCTCCGAGCACAGTTGCTCTTGACTGGTCCCTCAGGTGGCTTCTGTCCACTCTCTTCTTCCTACCACTGCTTGATTCTTTCTGCTTTGTTAGACCTGTGCCAGCCTCTACAGAGACCCTAAAGCCACACGGCTCATCCCTCAATTCTATCTCCACACTTTCTGACCCTCAAACTCATACCTCAGAGTGTGAGGCGGTCCTGGGGCTCCCGTGGTAACCACCCAAACTGCTCTAGCTGGGTCTTCAGTGATCTCCCAAGAGCATCCATTCCAGCAACCAGCACGCTGCCATTCTTTACAGCACCCCTCCCCGACTCCAGGTACAGCACTAGAATCTTGCCTCAAAAAAGCCTTCCCTGGCTGACTTCATGCCCAGTGGGATCCCAGCTCTCTGTGCTCAGATCTGGCTGTTCTTCACACCTGCCTGAATGCATTGTTTGGGGGATGTGAGGGGTCACCACATCACTCCCTTTGCTTGTGGACATTAGTGTGAACTGTGCTCCTTGAGCTGAGGGAGTTCCTTGGGGCAACATCCCATCTATTCCCAAGGGTTCTTCAGCTCTGTGTTTCTCCAGGCTCATCTAAATGAGTGCACGGTTAGTACTGGGAAATCTGGAATCAGAGAAAAGATAGTGGAGGCCTCTGATGAACCAGAAGCAGATGAGAAGAAAGATATGAAAAGACACTGCATCACCCCTGTGCTCACTGGGCATCAAATCCATCACCACTAGGGAAAGAATGTTTCTGATTTGTCATTGGTAAGAGCTAAACTGTTTACAGTGATGTTCAAGGTGGGACAGAAGTTTACAACTGAGCTTGAGTCTTTGCTGACAGTGCCTCTCCACCTCACACATAGACTTCCAAGCCTACCACACTTACACTGACTGGGGGCACCATTGAACACTCAGTGTGAGCCTGCCCACATGATAAGATACGGCTATTGCAGGTCAGCTGGATGAGGGCCGAGTGGCCATTTGCCTGTCTTCCTGGGGATGGTGTGTACTGCTGAGGATTTTTATTAGCATATACTAATTTCATTGAGATATTTGCATACATGTATAATTTGGTTATGTTTATCCCTGATTACCCTGTCTTTACCCACTTCCTGCTGATTGCCTTCATTTTCCCCTTCCAGTCCACTTCATTCATGTCTCCCATGTGCATGTATGTTCGTGTGTGTGTGTGTGTGTGTGTGTGTGAGAGAGGGGGGGGAGTTTAGAGTCGCTCACGTGAGCGTGGACCACCTTAATCCCACTGTTACACCAAGTTATACCACCGAAGGAAATGTTTCCCCTTCTCCAGCAACTGTCACTGCAAATGGCTCCTCAGGGAGGGTCAGAGCTGTCTCTCTCCTATTCCCATCCCCCACTCTCACTCCCATCCATGACAGAGTGTCCATGGGCCCACTCTTGTGCATAATGGGTTGGGGTTGGCAAGTCAAGCTGCATTGCACTTTGTTTTCACCATTTCTCCAGAGAAATACTGAGAGAAGTATCAGCTATTCCCTGGAAAATTCATGCAGTTAATGAATGATTGGCCTGTGTTCCCATGGCCTGGTGCTCCCATGGCCTGGGTGCTCCAAGCTGCCCAGTAGTTAACTCCTGACTATCACTGTGTTTGCATCCGAGGGATGTCTGGGACCGTGCATCACATTAACACCTGGTAGGAAAGATTCCCAGGCAACAGGCACACTGAGGTTAGAAACGTGGGGAGATGGCTGGGTTATAGGTATACAGGCTCCTTAGGGACTCCAGGCACCTTCCCACCATGCCCATCATGGATGACTTGATGTGTTTCAAACATTACTTGTACTGAGAGACTACCGTGTGCAGTAGGAAAAGCCTCCTCCACATCTCCACCTCAAAGGTCTAGTTGGCCTATGAGGGGGCCTGTCGTAGCTCCTAATCTAGGGAGCAATAGACTGTCCTTTCATACAGCATTAGCCTTTGGGGCTGCAGTCAAGGCCAGCGATAGCTTCAGAATGAGAACAGCTTTATGCGGATGCTTTGGAGGAACAGGCTTTCTGTCTTGTTATCTCTTTCACTGAATCTCTGAGAGAGTGGGAAGGAGGGAAGGAAGAGGATTGTACTGCTTTTTGTTTTGTTTTGCTTTGTTTCTTTGTGTAGCCTTGGCTGTTCTGTAGAACAAGCTGGCCTTGAACTCATGGAGATATGCCTGCCTCTGCTTCCCTAGTACTGGGATTAAAGGCATGTGCCACTACCACCCAACTATATTGCTTCCTTTAGGCCTCCCCAGATCCTTCTGAGGAGCAGTTTTCCTAATATTTTGCTTTTGTGCTTCATGTTTTGGGAAGGAGAGGAACGGGGAGGGTGTGAAGGCCAAACTGGGAAGAAAGTAGGGAAGACATACATGGACCAAAGATACTTCAAAACTCTTTCATCCCCAACCTGGAATATCCCCAAACACAGTTGGCTGGGGGCAGTTTAGTAAGGAAAGTCTCATGTTCCAGACAATGATATTAAATAATAAACATGCTTTAATGCCAGGCAAGAGCTACACAATCAACTGATAACGGGACCACTCCACATCGTATGACATATATATTATTAAATTCATCTGTAGAAAGCCCCCCAGGGAGTACTGCTGGGGTGGGGTGGTACCCACAGCATCCCTTCTCCATCCTAAGCGAGGTATGAACAGTCAAGCATTCTGAAACATCCTTCAAGTCATAAGCCATTTAGTCCAGTCCCATGAACAGCACGGGCTGCCTTTACTTGGAACAAAACAGGCTCTATTTCCTTCAGAGATCTCTGAACACAGCAAAAGCAAAGCCTAGCCACAGGAGTGACTGATGTCTTCAGGCACTTGAACCTCTTGATGGTGTGAAGTCCCTTGGTCCAACATACATGCAGAAAAATGACACATATCCAACGCTGTCCTGGGGCAAGGTGGGGAGGAGGAGGAAGAACACATACGGATAGGTCTGTGGGGGAACCAGTTCTGGAACCTTTGTGTCTTCTGGAGACCACAGGGTTCATAACCTTTGCATCTGGCTTTTTCATTTCCAGATAGCTGGAGACTATCTTTAGTTCCTACCCCAACTCTTAAGTTCTAGGAAACACAGGGTCTGGCTCAACCTGAGACAAAGCCCAAGTAGATGAGTCTATCTCGCAAACACCAGCGGGTTGGCTCTCTTCACCTGCCTAGGTTCAACCACTTGAGTTAATTCTTCTTTGCAAAAACAGACTTTACTGTTTGGGCCACAGGGATTGGCAAGCCTTGGTACAAAATGTAAGGAAATAACACCAGGGAAAAGTAAGATTACAAAATCTAGGTCTCGAAATTTCAGCCCACTAAGTGATTCATTTTAATCCTCCACTCAAGTTTAAACTTCTGCCAGTTAGGAGTGTCACTGTGGGGGACCTGAGGGCTGGCAGGGACCTTTTCCTTCTGGTTGTGTTTATCCTTTTGTGGTTCTTGTTCTACAGGACCTGGCTTGGCTGCTGTCAGACAGAGACCTTCCTGCCCCGTCTTAGGTGGAGTCTGCCACCAACATTCTTGAGTATTTAGACCCTCTTATGCAAGCTGTTTGTGAGGCTTTGGCTTACCTGTGGCCAGGAGTTTTTATTTCCAGCCCCATTTCAAAGTAATGTGCATGAGTGGTCAGCCCTGGCAGCAGCTCAGCTTTGCTGCATTCAAAGAACACAGTGAGGAAGAGTGCTGTTGAGATCCCCACGGCCGGCTTTGGACACTGCAGGTCCCTTTGCTGGCTCTAATAATGGGTGGATTGCCTGGCTATCCCACACCTGACTATTTGAAGGGTACCTGGGGGCAGGAGAAACGGACGTTCTAGATGTGACGCCCCCACCAAGGATGTGGGTTAAACTGCTAGGAAATCTCCGTTTGTTTTTCTGCATCTGTAGAACATCCATCTGCTTAGACAAGTGTCGCACCTGCGCTCGCTGCCGGTGTGCGGCTGGGCCTCGGCCCCTCATCACTGTGGAGTTCCCGGTGCTGCTCTGATGGACAGAATGCCTGGAAAGCTGGCTTCCTTGTGTCCTCCAGCCACCTTGACTCCTCCAGAAAGCCACTGGAAATCAAAGCCGGGCCCTTGTCACCGTTCTTCTGTGGTTTTTATGGAGTATATAAAATATACTTGTTAACTGGTACATTTGTGCAAAGACAGCTATAACAAGACATTGACATTCATTGTAGTTGGCTTCACAATAAGCTACTAAACAGTCTTCTGTAGTAAGACTGTATTAGCGCTCACTAAACATGCATTTACAAGGCAAAACACTTAATTTGGTCTGCAATACCCAATGTTTTATATACAGCAGTCTTTTTATAAATCACGAGTAAGCAGCAAGATGGGTCTGGTTTTTGACTATGTGTTTGATTTTTTTTTTTAAAAGAAACTCAATATTAGCTCAACTCGTGTAAACCTGTGGGAGAAAAACCAAACAGCTGAGCCGTCTTTTCCCATCTCTGTTAATTTACCTTAAAAAGTTCACAGCTTAGAAATTACAGCCTGCTGGGGGGGGGGAGGGAGTGGGCCTCTGGGGGGAATGTCCCAGCTCCTTTTAATAGCCTTACCCCAGAGGGTAACCTGTTCTTAGAAAACTTAGCCTCAGGTGTCCACTATAGCTCTGAGGGCATGCGTTACAGCAGACCCAGGTTAGGAGGTTTGTATTTCAAACAAAGCCCCTCAAAGCTTGCAGAAAGATTTCTGGGCTGGATGCACTTCCCTTCTCTTGCCCCTCAAGTCTTGGGTTTTAAGACATTAGAGACATTAGAATCAAAGGAAAAAAATAATGATTTAAAAAGTCATCCACCAGGGAACACCACGAAGTCTGTGCATGCTCTCCACAAGCACACGGGTTCTGGCCATTCACGTCCACTATGAAAGAAGCAAGGGGCAAGTGTGTCACAGGAGGGCACATCCGACTGAAGAGGGGACAGTGTCACCAACAATATTGTTTGGCAAAAACAAAAACAAACAAACAAACAAAAACAAGATAAGTTTAAAAGCTAATCAGGAGAGACACAAGCAGCTGTAGCGTCCTTGAGGGTTCAGGGCTCAGAACTGGCCGGCGCTGCTGGGGTCGCACTGCAGGAGACGCACAATGGATGGGTCGCTTTTGGCCCCTCGGATGAATTCTTCCAGGGAGAGTTTTCCTAGGAAGCAAGAGGACCAATGAGCGGCTCTGCACTGTGCTGGGGGCAGCAGAAGCCCATGGCTTCCCTCAGTAGAGGCCGGGGACCATGAGGCAGGATCTCCACTTCTCTCTTAACCATGAAATCCCACACTTGGCTCAGTGCACAGAGACAAGACTCTGGGCTTGGGGAGGGTATTGGCTCACCCTGGCATGAATCTGCCCTAGTAGCCCTGCCTCAACGTACCCTGGAGGGGCCCATTCAGTATCTGAGGAATGAGTTAGCTCTAGCTCGTCTGAGTGTGCCAGGCTCTTGAAGCAGCAAAGCTGTTCCCACAGGCTCTTCAGCCACTCTGTACTCAGGTTCACAGACAACCCCTCCTTGGGTGGGCAGAACAGAAGTGTAAGTTCTTTTTAAACAACTTTTTGAAGATGGCAGCATCTTCATCCAAATCCAGGAGAATAAAGGAGTGTGATCTAGACAGTGACCCACTGGTCCCTCAACCAGGTGGCTTGAGAAAGAAGCCAGGGATCTTTTCTCTCACTGTACCACCTCTCTCTCTCTCTCTCTCTCTCTC